TACAGGGCCCCTGTCCCGTGCCCTCTACAGCTTTCCTATCACGACCCCGCCCCCCCCACAGAGGCCCATGGGAAGGCCAGACCGTGAGGAGGTGCTTTTGTGCACCTGCTGAGCTCAGCCAAACTCCCCTCAACTGGAGTAGCCCCAACCAAGCAGGAGACGCCGAGTTGGCCCCAGGACACTGAGAGGGATTCCAGAGGAAAGAAGGGGCCCCTCTCCTTCAGGACAGAAAGGAGGGGCAGGGAAAGGGTCCTGAGGCAAGGCTGCTGATCAGCCCCATTTCCTGGCTGCCACTTGCCAGTGAGCGCTGCTCTCCAGCAGGGGGCAGGGTGGCTGCGGAGAGGTCAGCAGGCACCTACCTCAGGGTCTCCTTGAGGGCTGCCCTCAGCAGGGGCAGCTCCACCATTGCCCTCTGGGGATTGTCAGTGATGCTAGCGGCAGCTTCTAGGCTCTCCTGGCGCAGGGCCCGCTGCACCTCGGGATTTCTGGCCAGCTCAAACAGTGTCATCAGCACGGGGAAGGCTGTCTGCAGGAGCCACAGGTGCAAGGCTCAGGCATGGACACCTGCCCAGACCTCCTCCCTCAGGGTGGCTCTTCCAAGCATGTACCCCCTCCCTGGGGCGGGGGTGTGCATGCCCTGAGCAGGACACATCCCTGGAACCCTGGACCTCAAATCCCAATGCCCATCTGCACTCCCTTCCCTGAGTCCTCCACAAAAAGGAGACCCCCATCCCACCAATGCCCACATGCAAGTCTTTTCATCAGTTGACAAGCTGAGGCAGGGGCTGAGGGGGAGCTGAGAATGGGCGGGGCAGGGCCTGGGGCTGTGGCCCATGGCTGATGCGTGGCATTGGAGAACACTGCCTGAGAGACAGGATGGGTGCTCTGGGGGGCAGTTTCTGCTCTGACCGTGTCCACACTCCCTGCTGTGAGTTCAATAGCATTGGCCTTGATGGCATCTGGTGACAACTCTGCCTGCAATAGCAGCTCTGCCACAATGCCACTGTAGTGTGTAGGGTGGTTGAGTGCCAGTTCCTGATAGATTTTCTGGATGCTGTTGTTGGCTGTAGGAAGAAGAAGAAACACCCCTGGCTGAGAACTGAGAAGCACCCCCTCTTAGTCCTGCACCCAGCACCCCAAGTCCCCCTGGCCCCACCCGCTCTGGGTCAACCCAGTCCAGATTTTGGCTCAGCTTTGACTCTTCCTGGCAGAACTCTGCTCTCCCCAGGGCTGTGGAGAATGAAAAATTGGGCCACCACAGAGGCCCTGCCACATGACACTGCAGGGTCCCTGACCCTCACCATACTGGAAGATGCAGTCCCATGCCTCAAAGTGCTCCTCCCATGTCCTGGTGCTGGTCCAGCGGGACAGGCTTCTGGGTGTGAACATGAGCTGGGCAGTGGATTTGAACATAGTGTCCAGAGCGTGTATTAAGTTCAGGCTGGCTTGGCTGGGGTTATGGCCAAAGAGACCCAGCCGCTCTCCAAAAAGTGCTAGGTTGCTGGCTGCAGGGAGGATGGCACCACTGAGCCAAAGGCAGCCTCCCACCAGCCCTCCCTGTCCCCTTCCTACTCTACTCCAACTTCACTGGGGGGGACCTCCCACCTGACCTCACACCTTCTATGGCATAGTGGAAGATGCTGGGCTGGATGTCCAGGGTCAGGGCCCCTCGGGCATTCCGTAGCACCTTCTTCTTCAGGGTCTGGGTGAAATCCCTTGCTACTGTATCCACCATGGGGAGGTACTTCTCCACAGCTTTTGGTGACAGCACTCCTGGGTTCAGCCGTAGCCGGTTGAAACGCCATTCAGGCCCATTTCTACAAAGCAGAGAGCGGGGCTAGGAAGGTAGCCCTTGGCAGACACAGAGCCCCAAATTAGTGTCCTACATTTCTTGTTCTCAAAGGGAATAAGCAGGGCAGGGGGCTGCTCTCAGGGTAGCTGCCTGCCTTCCTCCTTAGCTGCAGCATTTTCTCTATGAGAAGCCCTGGGACATGTTTTTGAATATTTCAATGGATGCTGCGCCAGGAGTTCATGTCCCTGGATACAGAACCATTTCATTGTGAGAATTTGCCGCGATCTGTGTTTTAGAACTCTGGAATCTAATGTTAGCTTGCAACTTCCCTGGAAGTTAAAAAAAAAAAAAAAAAAGTGGTTAATTTCTGCTTGTCTTGCAGTAGCAGTTACTCAGCTCCTACTCCTGTCCTGTGACAGGCACCTGTGGATATGGTCCTGGAGCAACTTACATGCAGCTTGCAGGAGCCATGCTGGACAGAAAGGACTGTGGCCTCCAAATACCAGGGGTCTGTGTTTCGATCTCATTGCTTTTCTGGTCACAGAGATGCCGATAAAAGGCAGGTCCCCGCTGTTCCTGCTGTCCCTCTCCATCACTGTAAGCCCCTCCCTCTCTGGATGAAGTGACTTCGGGATTTAAGGAGCCAGTACCCTTCCCCCCTCAATTGTTCCATGTTTCCACATTGGAAGCCAAGCCTTGCAGTCCATTCAAAATCAACCATGTATATGGGGGAAATTTAAAAGTCACCCCAAGGTGACTTATGCCTGTAATCCTAGCACTCTGGGAGGCTGAGGCAAGTGGACTGCCTGAGCTCAGGAGTTTGAGACCAGCCTGAGCCAGAGCAAGACCTCATCTCTAAAAAACAGCCAGGCATTATAGTGGGTGCCTGTAGTCCCAGCCACTTGGGAGTCTGAGGCAATGAGGATCATTTTAGCTCAAGAGTTTGAGACTGCTGTGAGCTATAATGCTACAGCACTCTACGAAAGGCAACAAAGTGAGACTCTGCCTCTATAAAAAATAAATAGATGAATAAATAAAAAGTCACTCCACATATACAAATGGAGGCCCAGAAAAGATCCAGGAATACCATAAGTTTACAACTCAGGCTAAAGCCTCAGGGCCAAGATAGTCTTCAACCATCAAATAAATGACTTGCAAAAACAGTAACAAAAAAAGAAAACCCAAAGGAGGGGTAGAATCCATTTTCCAGAATTACACATTATTATATTGAAATATTCAGTTCTCCACAAAAATATTCCAAGGCAAATAAAGAAATAGAAAAGTATGGCTCATAGAAAAGGAAAAGAAGGGCCATGCCTGTGGCTCAGTGAGCAGGGCGCCAGCCCCATATACCAAGGGTGGTGGGTTCAAACCCAGCCCCAGCCAAACTGCAGCAAAAAGTAGCCAGGCGTTGTGGCAGGCGCCTGTAGTCTCAGCTACTCAGAAGGCTGAGGCCAGAGAATCCCCTAAGCCCAAGAGCTGGAGGTTGCTGTGAGCTGTGATGTCATGGCACTCTACCAAGGGTGACAAAGTGAGACTCTGTCTCTAAAAAAAAGAAAAGAAGAAAGAAAAAGAAAAGAAAAAGGAAAATAATCAACAGAAATCAATGAAAAAAGGCTGATGGCAGATCTACCAGAACTTCAAAGACTTCAAAATAACTATCTTAAAGACACTCAAAGATCTAAAAGATGATGTGGAAAAATTGCAGAGCAGAAAGTATCAGAATGAGCACAGTGAAATATCAACAAAGATGGAAAATGTGAACACCCTCCCCCCCAAAAAAACACTGGAGCTAAAATGAACACAAAGAAATATCAACAAAGAGATGGAAAATTTGAACCCCCTCCCCCCAAAAAAAACACTGGAGCTAAAAATATAATCACTGAAATTAAAAAATTCACCAGAGAGATTCAAAGGCAGATTTGAGAAGGAAGAAGAAACAGTCAATGAACTTGAAGACAGGACAATGGAAGTTGGTCTGAGGGAACAGAAAGAATAACTGCTTGAAGAAAAGTGAAATGACCTGTGGGACCTGTGGGATGCCATCAAAATGACTGGCATGTGCATTGTGAGGGTCTCAGAAAGAGGAAAGAACTAAAGAGGCCGGGAGAATATTGAAAAAATAATGGCTGACAACTTCCCCAAATTGATGAAAGACACAACTTGTAAACATACAAGCATCTCAGTGAACTCCAAGTAGATGGAACATACCAAGATACATAATAATAAAACTGTCGAAAGACAAGGAGAGATTTTGGAAGCAGCAGGAGATAAGTCATATCCGAGGGATTCTTAATTGGCAGATTTCTCTGCAGAGGCTTTAGATGCCAGAAGGCAGTTGGCTGGTATATTCTGAGTGTTGATAGTAAAGCATATACCAACCAAGCAAAACTGCTCTTCCAAAGTGCAGGATAAATTAATGCTCCCAGATAAACAAAAACTAAAGGAGTTTGAAATCACCGTACCTCCCCTACAAGAAATGTTTCAGGGTGCCTTGCAGGTTGAAATGGAGTGACACTAGACGGTAACTCAAAAATGTGTGAAGGAATAAAGATCTCAGTAAAGGTAAATACATGAGCAATTATGAAAGCTAATATTGTAACAGTGGTGTGTACCCACAGGTTTTGTTTCATATGTAATTTAAGAGATTAATATATTTGACAAGCCAAGTGATTAGTCTGAAACTAAGACAAATTATTATTGTGCCTTTGGTTTGTAAGTTCACAACTTGTTTTTCACATAATTTAAGACATTAGTTTATTTGAAATTTTTAGTTATTTTTTTGGCACACACATAGGAAGGGGGAAAAGTTTGCCATCAACAACTGAAAGGGGGTGGAGGCAGAACTGTAAAGGAAAAAGTTTCAGTATATTTAACATATTACTGAAGTTCAGCTATCATAAATTCAGTTGAGAGCGTTATAATTAAAGGATGTCCATGGTAACCACAAATAAAATAACTAACTAAAGGATGTACACAAAGAAATGAGAAAGGAATTTAAATGTTTTACTACAAAAAATCAACTAAACAGAAAAGAACACTAATGCACAAAATGAGGAACAAAAAATAAAAGGCATATAGAAAAATATGAAAATGAGAGAAGTCCTCCTTATTAATATTTACTCTAAATGCAAGTGAACTGAACTCTTCAATCAAAAGACAGAGACATTGGCAGAATGATTAAAAAATAGAATTCAACTATATGCTGTCTTCAGGAGACTCACTTTAGCTACAAGGACCTAAAGGTTAAAAATAAATGTATAGAAAAAGATATTTCAAGCAGTGTGGCAAGGATAATGTCAGAGCAGCCTCCAGGTGCTGGGCCACAGGCCATCAAGTCTGACTTTGGGGCGACACACTGGCTTCTGCCTCACTGTGCTCGAGAGGGCTTCATGGAGTTCATTCCTGTGAACTTGCTGGCCAAGCCCTGGCACACAGACCACCTGGGCTGACTCTCCCTGAGTGGGGACATCTTTTTTCCAGGGGATGCAATTGCCCCGGGGTCAGGCTATGCCCAGTATTCACACTATATGTGTGTGTACATGCTCATGCACACATGTGAGCATACAGACACACAGAACAGACATGTAACACATCAAGATGTACAGAATCACAAGCTCACACACACAACATGCTCACGAGTGTGAGCACAGACACACATGCACATTCAATACACAGGACTGCAAATGCACACACACAAAAGCCAGCATGCATATACACATGTGCTCTCAGGAACACACATGCACACACACAGAACTGCACACAGTACACACACACACCAGCGCACCCCTTCCTTCAGATATGCACACCCACTCTCCTCACCCTTCACCTGCAACTATCCTTTCTGCTCCTGACCCCCACCCAGATACCTCCAGTTAAGGATGCCCCATCCATCTAAACCCCGCTATTCCCAAGAGAATCCACTTCCCCACAGTGTGTGGTGGCTGTCAACTGTCCACGTCCATCCTTCAGGCCCTCCTGTCCTAATGGCAGCCCATCTGCAGCTGATGGACTCAAGCACACTCTTCTTCCTCGGCCTACCAACCAAACCAGGGGTGCCGCCACTTTCCTGGGGAATGATACATCCCAAGGCTGTGGCCCCACCTGCTGCTTAGCTCCTGAGAACACAGGACAAGCAACCACCTGCATCTGTGCTCACCGGCCCCCTGCCCAGGACTGGCTTCCCAAGGCAAAGGTTTGCCTGAGCTCTGGGAGCCAAGGGCACCATGGTGGACAGCAGCCTCTGGGACACTCTGACTGTGACCTGGGCCAGCGTCCACCTTCTCAGAGCCTCCGTTCCTCACCTGTACGCTGGAGCCCCAGCAACCAGGAGGGGACATGGCCACCAGGGCTGTGCAGTGGGTGCTCCCTAACGCACAGCTCATTGCCCTCCCTCCTCTCAGCGCAAAGTGCCTTGCACACGTCTCTGCCACTGCCCTGCTCCCCCCACCACAGGGTACATGGGACCCAAGGGAGACACTCCTTAGGGTTTGGTAGTCACTCTGGTTCCACCACCACCACCCCCATGAGTCTCAGGCAGGGGTGATTTGGGGTCTTCTCTGTGTCGCCTCCTCTCTTTGTCCCAGTTGCCCTTCCCCCCATTCCAACTGGACCCTCACAGCAAGAACACGCCACATTTGTGCCCACGGTGATGCCTGTAGGCCAGCCAGGGATCCAGGCACATCCGGCGTGGGTGCAGAGTCTCCACCTGCTGCAGCCTCTCCACGTCCTCTGGCAGCATCACAGACACCCTTGGTGTCCCTCCTATGTCATACCTGTGGGACAAAGCACAACGTCCTGCCGGGCAGGGCCACGTCCTCCCCTGGGTCCAGATTGGCTTTATCCAAACTCCCTCTTCTGGACTAGTGATTTCACAGCAGGAAGTCCCCCCTGCTGTCTACCCGAAACCTCGCCAACCCCAGTGCCTCCGAGTTCTGTCCTCTGGCACGAGCCCTGGTTTGCTGTCTCCTCATGAGGAGCTGTGATGTCCTCTGCTGAAGACAAGGACCCATCACCCACTGGGCTCCCTCCCGGTCTCCCCCAGGATGCAGAGCACAGGGAGGATTCTGGGTGTCCTCGCTTAGGGGCAGGGAGGGCTTTACCTGAAAATTGGCCCCAGCTCCTGGAAGTTCTGCTGCATGTCCAGGTGGAGGTTCTCATAGCCCTGGTCCTTCCAGATCTGCAGTGTCTTCATCCAGGTGTTGGAGCGACTCTGGGGTATGGCTTCGAAGGGCAGCACTGCCTTGGGGGCCAGAGCGGCTCTGGTGCCCAGTGTCCGTGGCCCTCTCAGGGACAGGCAGGGCCCCGCCAGCCACGCACCTGCCTTTCTCCTGAATGCCATCCCAATGCTCCCTCTATTCCGTGCCCAAATCCTTTTATCTGGCCTGGGGACCTGCACTGGCAGATGGATCACGTCATGGAAGAAACTGTCCCTGGACCTGCCTGTACACCCAGGGCTGAGGTCAGGTCTGGAGGCTCCCTGCTGGAGATGGAGGAAGGAGACAGCAGGTGCCTGTCCCCCATTTCTGCACAGCCTGCTGGTACCTGGGTCCTCAGAGAAGGGGTGGGGCCTAGACTAGGGGTGCACAGGGCTGGGGGTGGTGGGAAGAGGCCTCTCCCTCCTCCAGAATTTAGCGCATCACGACTAATGGGGCCCTTATCTTATCCAGAGATGAAAAGGGGGCCTTGGGATCTTTTAATAAACTGGGTTTTTTTTAGCAGCAGTTTCAGTTCATTGCAAACTTGATGGGGAAGAATTGAGAATGTCCACGTGCCCCCTCTCCCTCTCAGTCCCGGTGGCTAAGCAGCATGCTTGTCGCACCTCAGTAACCTAGACGGACAAGTTCTCGCCCAAAGCCCTCAGTTTACCTGAGCTCCATGGCATTCATTCTCTGGGCTTGGAGTCATGTGTGCCCTCAGTTTACCTGAGCTCCATGGCATTCATTCTCTGGGCTTGGAGTCATGTGTGCCCTCAGTTTACCTGAGCTCCATGGCATTCATTCTCTGGGCTTGGAGTCATGTTTGTGATATGCTTTTGTCACGACAGCATCATAGGTCGCTTCCCTTCCCGGGAAAGATTCCACGCTATGCCCTCCAGCTGTCCTCTCCACACCTCTAACAACTACTCACCTTTTTACTCTCTCCATGGTTTCTCCCTTTCCAACATGTCACATACTGTGGCTGGACTGGTCCAGCACAGAGCCTTTCCACACTGGCTTCCTTCACTCAGCAACATGCTGCTAGGAACCTGCACACCTTTTCATCTCATCTCTTTTTGACAATGAATCATGTCCCACTGTCTGGATAGGCCACACTTTATCCACTCACCTACTGAAAGGACAGCTTTGTCTCTTCCATGTCTTGGTGGTAAAATAAAGCTGCTGTGAACATCCGTGTGCAGCGTTTAACTTGGACATTAATTTTCAACCCATTTGCCTAAACCCCCATGAGCACAGTTGCTGGATCGTATGGGAAGAGGTTGTGCTTATTCATCTTCTGGAATGGCTGAACCGTCCTGCCTTCCCAGCAATGGATGAGGGCTCCTGCTGTTCTGTCTCTGTGCCAGCATCCAGTGTTGTCAGCATCTGGTTTTTTCTACTTTAATAGGTTTAAAATCAGATCTCATTGTTAATTTGTAACTTTCTAAAGACTTGTGTTAGATAGTGAGCATCATCTCATATGCTTTATTTGCTACCTGTATATCATCTTTACTGAGACATCCATTTAGATATTTTGCTCATGTTTTAATCAGCTGTTCATTTTTTTATTGTTGAGTTTTAAGAGTTCTTCGGATATTTTGACTCCTTTATCAGATATCTCTTTTCCAATATTTTCTTCCAACCTTTGGCACATTCTCTTAACACTGTCCTTTGCAGAGCAGACTCTTAATTTTCATAAAGTCCAGCATATGAGCTTTTTCTCATCGTTCATGCCCTTGGTGTCATATTTAAACCACAGTCATATTCAAGGTCATCTACAATAGATTTTCTCCTATGTTATCGTCTGAGAGTTTGGATTTTATATTTAGGTATATGGTTTAGTTTGAGTTAATTCTCATGAGGGATATAATGTCTGTGTCTTGAATCCTTCTTTTTTTTTTTTTTTTTTTTTTTTTT